AACGCTGTGGAATAGTTCCATTAAAAAAATGAATTGAAATTTAAACCAGAATCTCGCGAATGGTTAGATGTGTTTACCGTTACGGCGCTACACCTCAACTTCAGAAAAGTATTTGTAAGAAACATTGAGTTCCAGTAATTTTCCGTCGGGGTTTCCGTTCTCAGACAACGCAAATTTTTGTGATTTAACGTTGTTGCTTTATAGAGAAAAGCTGAGAAATGTACAAAGATATACACACGCATGCTGGGCTATGGTTCTGCCCATTAGATCTTTTGTTTTGTTAGGTCCGCTGTTTGCTTCAGGTCCTTATTAGCAGATAGATATATCTGTCTTGTGCTTTTCAAAATTCGTGGAATTGACTGCCCCCAGGCGATAAATATTGACACCATAGGAAAGGATCAGTTTTAATTCTCTAAGCACATGTAAAAGTGAGAAAAACTTCTAGTTCTCTGAGCAAAACATATTAGTTTGCGTGTGAAAACTCCTTCATAATCGTTTGCTAGTTTTAGTTTCCATTTGAATTACCTCCTGTGGTAAAAAATCGTAACATGCGATGACCAAAGGCCTAACGGACAAGACAATCTCTGGAAAGTGCTCATGTGTTGCGGGAATAAGTAAATATTGCCATCATGTGATTAGGTAAGGTACGTTTTTTTATTTGGGGGGGGGGGGGGGGCCGGGGCCTCGGAGGGGAGGGTCATTAGTAAATTTTTTTACAAATCGGTCAAACCTATTTTATTCGCAACCGGGGGAGGGTCACAGTTTTTTTTGGCAAGGAAAAAATTACTCCAAGTCGCTTAGTTGACTCTCATTTGTTAACAAACACGCGAAGTGTGTAGAAACCTAAAACTTGTATATACAAGCAAAGTTACCAGTCAAGATTAATCTAAATTATTTACAGGTGTCGAAATAAGTATGCAACGGCGTTGGAGCATCCCAAGGGGAAAAACTTTACAGTAGTAAGAGATCCAGGAGGTGTTGGTAAAGAAACTGCAAATGAGGGCAGATTACAACAAACACTTTTTGACACTTTCTTTTTTAACTATTTTTTTGCATTGATTCTTAATCATTGGTAAGACTGTCAGTATAGTGCTTAAGGAATACAAGATTGCCATGGAATAGTCTTAATTACTTGCAAGATTAATTTCTCGCAGTATTATGTAAAATAAGGGGTCCTTGAAAATTGGTCAATAGACAGGCTACTGTGTAGAGCTGATTGACAAAGCCAAGGGTTGATAGGGGGACATCAGAATTAAAAAAAATGGAATTCCCTTATTCTTCGGATGGCTCTTTCGACATGTACTCTGAGCTTTGCGATAGTTTTTTTCCAAGTACATTGGCTGCAGAGAACTGTGCTTGATTCTGAAGAAAAGGGGGAAGATTTAGCCCCAACCCCTTTTCTCTTAGCAATTCATCAATATTGAAACCTTTGCCTGCCAATACCGAGTCACCAGGCTCCAGTAAATCTAAAATTCCACTGAATGTAGTTATTTTCTTTCTGTAATGGATCCTGTGTATAACTAGGAAATAAATGAAACTGCACCATGTGGGGTGATTCCAACAATTAATCCCTTCAATGTGTTGTTGCTCTTATAACTGGAATACAGCTGTGACAGTGATGTTGGAGTTTGCACAAAAATTTCAGTGCTATCTAGAACCACTCTTGTAGTTGGATAGATAAGACAAATCCCTCTAGCATATTATCCTGAACTTCATTCTTTGATTGCCAGATACACTGACTTCCTAAGATGAAGTATAGGGGATTTGCCCATGTTGTTACTTCCCTTTTTACAGACAACAAGTGAATCTGTCTATCCCCTAATGCATAACTATACACCAGTCTTTCAGCATTTGGCTTAACAAACTCACAAAAAACCAGTAAGTGCTTATATGTTGGGAAACCAGTATAGAACTTAATGGGGCAACACCTGATGAAAATAGCTCTATTCCTAAGACTAGCTGCTCTTGAGCAAGCTTTCTGCAATTATCAATGTCATTCTGTGCTTGAGCCTTCAGTTCATTGATTGTCTGAATGGTAGCACTCACCTCTTGTTTGGATATCTTTAATTCTTCATTTGCAATGTGTAGCTCAGCTGGAACAGCTGTGAGTTGCTTTCCCAATAATCGAATTTGGTTGGTAGCACTGGGGTGCCCGTCTGTGTGTTGTTGTGGATTGTTTCATATAATTATGTGGAAATTCAGTTTTATGACATCCATGGGCATGATTAACAAATTAAGGTCCTTATTTATAAGAGATTCTTTCATCAAGGTTATTATTTTCCCAGTATTTGTAACATGAGGTGAAACATGACTATTGATCACTAATTTAAGTCAAGTATTTTAATAAGTTTTATGTCATGGTTCAATTACAGGAATATTTGTTTTTAACAAGCCCAATTATATTTGTACTGCTTGTGGCAAAGACCTTGAAACCATTAATTTAGCTGCTGTTGTCAAAGCTGGTTATTGGCCTGGTAGTCCCAATGGTGTCAACTATATCTTCCACCAAGACCTTTTTGTACTCTGGAATGCTTTACAAAAAGAGGATGCCTGGAACATCTGAAAATGCTTTTGTAGGTAGCGTAAGTTTGTTAAGTATTATTGGGAGGACTTAATAAATTTATTGTGGAATTTACCCACCCTCCCCTACTGTATTTAAGAGAAGCTGGTTTAAACCTGGTGGAATTGCATTCAATATAGCTATTTTTCTATAATTTACTACTCTATATACCAGTGTTTATTAGCTGTATTATTTTGTATGAAATAATATGTGCATGCTTGATCATAACTGAAAATGGAAAATGCCATTTTGCCTCTGACATTTTTTAATTCCTGTAAGTAACAATTATAAATTGTTGCTATTATATTGTTTTTGATATAAATATTTATAAATATTATATATATGTGGATATTACTCATTTTCCGTTTATTGAATTCGAATCAATATGTTCCCAAACTCAACACAGTCACATTCAATAAGTCATTCCACAAGTATTGCCAGTATAATTTGGATAAACACCAAGAATTGGGCTAGATGAAATGTCCATCATTTTTGATTACCCAACATCCATGCCATGTTGATGAGAACATGAAATTATATTGATACAAAAAATCTGGAAAGTATGTATAGTGCATCCTCAAGCAACAGTTTAGTTACACCTAACTGCAAGACCCCTTTAATACAAAAATAAAAGAAATGTGCCTTACTTAATTAGTATTTACAAAACAAAAGAAAAAGATGAGAGCTCTACATTGTGTGATGTTCTTCTGTCTTGTTATTTTTTTTTATTTGGATAACACAACATTGTTTTGCAATTAGGATCTCACATGGTACAGTAAGAATTATTAGTGAGAGTATAAAACAATGGGGAACAGTAACCCTAAATTTAAAACCATGAAACAGTAACAAAATTATTGTGATGTTCTTTTTTATCTAGTATTTATTGAGTTGATGCTCCATTCATGAAGTATTGTAACACTTTCATATGATTGTGACAAAATTTGTTTGATGTTTACTATCATCTATCTATATTATATGATATGTTTTTTATGTTTAAATATTGTACTTCTCACAGAAGAAGGAACCCATCTTATCATGGCAACTGTTTTATTTGCAAGAAGGAAGACCTAGACAACCACATAAAGGCTGATTATTCCAAACAAAAATTTACAAAGGTGATGTTTTACTCCAATTTATTTGAATGAAGAAATAAAAATGGATAATTTGAAATGCAAACTAACGGCCAAAAACTTTATTATTCAGCAAAGTGAAGATAACAACTCATGTGGAGAAAGCCATTGGAAGGCAGCTGGCAATAAACTGAAGGAATGGGCAAATGCGGATGAGACAGGGCTGGAGATCGTTGGCTGTAGGCATGGACTTGCGCAATAGGCGGTCAATATGTACCAGAGAGAAATATACGGATACCCCCATCACATCCAATGCAAAAAAATGTAACCTAATGATGTACGATTTTTTTGGGAGGATGTTGTATGCAAATACTGGGGCTGTGCCTAAAGAACTGGTATGAGAATGCGGAATATACAGCCAGCCCTGTCAGTGAACATGCAAAAGCACACAGTTGGTCTTGTCAGGTACCTTATTTATTGTGCAATAGTTTTCAAATTTAAAACGAACTAAAAAACTCTTTGTATCACAACCAGTATTTTTCTGATAAATCAAATCAAGTTTGTAATCGTGAGAATAGGATTTTTGCAGTAAACAATCAGGCTAATTGGAATAACAGTAATTTTGAAGAGGAAAATTTCAGTTATCTTCTAAACGTTGTTTTTAATTTTGAATATGCATGTTTATATCAGGATTTTTAGCAACTGCATGTAGTTTTTTGTACTTTTGACCCATTATATTGAATACCATAACGTTATCGTAGGTTTTTGGGGTGGAAGATGGAAAACTGGGAGTGCATGCACAACTGGAGAGGA